ACGCCTCTGCCGGTGCCCCTCCACTCCCGACCCGCCAGCCCCTCGCCAGCCCAGCCCTCGGGCTCCCCCCCCACGCTCTGCTAGTGCCCCTCACTCCTAATCCACAACTTCTTTTTATTTTGGATTAAAGCATCTGAATAAATTTGATTTCACCCTTTTCAGAGGGATCTCTGGAGGAGCGGCATCGATCCATTCCTGGTAGCTAGAAAGTTCCATGAATTTGTCGAGAATGCTCTGGCCGAGGGTAAGTGTCTGGCTTAGTGTTAATCCATTGGTGCTGCGTTCATTAATCAAGGCCTGTAACTAAACCAATAAATAAACCCTGTGACACTCCTCAAACTACTCCCCAGATATTGTCATATCACAGTCCCGGCTCTCCCACGCTGCTCCAGCGGATCCCTCCCCCACACGTAACCCAGTCACTGCAGCTGGGGGGCCGGGGGTCGTTCTCAGGGGCTATTGCCAGTATTAGCCCTGTGCAGGCGTTTCCCGAACTCTGTATTTCCTGGGCCATACTACAGGCCAGGGCGTGAGTTACTCCCGGGCCTTGCACCCGTCTCCTTCCTTCCAGAGCTGGATTTTTTAGCTATCCCTGTTAGCAGGTTCCAAGATGGCGAGCGCTTTCAAGGAAAACGTCCGGTCCATGGCAGTCAGGGTCCTGGTCCCCGCATCGATCCATCTTGTCATTCCCGACCAGGAGGGCTTTTGACCCGAGCAGTTGACCAAATCTGGGGAGCTGTTGGTTGTTCCTGTTAGGAGGAGAAACTGATGATAAGAGTCAAGTATTTTCTTTGATGCAATCTTTTTCGTTGACAGCGTTTATGTGTAAAGTCCTGTTTCCCTGAACGCAGTCGGAATCAAACAGAAAACCAGTTTTCTCTGCTCACTGTTTCAAACCTGCCTTTCCCAGGGTTACCAGATGTCCGGGGTTTTCGTTCTCTGTCCAGGTGAATATCTGAAATAACAGGAAATGTCCTGGATTTTTGCAGAGCAAATGCTGTAGGTCAGGAGCCCTGACTGGTCTGCGTCCCAATGGGTCCCTCCCCTGCATCCACATCGGGGTTGTCGGGATCTTCTTTACTGGGTTAAAAATCCTCCCCGTAAGCGAAGGGGTTAATCAGTGGAACTGGTGAGTGAAGAACAGGCCCAGCTGATCGTATTACCGGTGCGTGTTGATTTCAGCCCTTCCGACAACCCGTGGCTATAACTGGGAGCTGGCCAAGACTGGATTAATATAGACACAAAGAAATCTGACTTCTTCCAACCCTGCAGGAATCTCGTCATTTTCTCCCAGTTTTACCTTTGCGATCAGCCTTCTGTACAAGCATCTGAGTGGAATAGATTTTAACGAGCCCTTTTCTTGCCCCATCTCTGTTTTTAGAGAGAAGAAACCCTGTTACCGGCATTAGTAAGTATAAAAGAGATACGATACGGCGCTCTGTACGCGGAGAAATTACAAGCACCACCTATGAGGGAAATGCGGAAGGGAAAACTGTTAAATTGAATAGGATAAAATGGGAAATAAATTTAAAAGGGGGCTGCGGGTCGGGAGTGAGGGGCACCGGCAGAGCTGGGGGGGGCAGGGCTGGGCTAGCAGGGGCTGCAGGTTGGATTCAGGGGCATCGGCACAGTTATGGGGTGAGCCCAGGGCTGGGCTAGCAGGGGGCTGTGGGTCGAGATGTTTTCTGCAGTGGCAGAGATGTTTTCTGAGAAATTTTACCCCGTTCCTTCTTAATCTCTAGCACAATGGAGTTCCCAGAGTTAGGGGTTAGGGAGTCGGGATTCTTGGTTTCACTCTTCGGTTCTTCCACTAAATCACCATGTGCCCATGGAGATGAAGTTAGTCACACAACGTCACAGAGACTCAAAGAAAGACAATAGAACCCAGGAGTCCTGGGATCTTGGCCCTCATTCCCTTGACCTTTGTTCTTCCATCATCTCAGATCTGCAAAGCTTTGACCTGTGTCAGCTGTTGGCTTTTGACTCCCACTCCTCTGTCTTGCCCTCTCCAAGGCAACGTTAGACTGAGCGACTTTGCAAAATGCTCTGCCGTGCAGCTCAGCCTGGAGGTGGACGGCCAAGCTGTGTCTATAGACCTGGTGCCCACCATCCGGAATAAAGTGGACATGTCCATGGATTGGCCACGGCAGGATCTCCGGTGGCTCTCCGACTGGTGGGACCGGGAGCAAGACACGGAGCGGATCAACCCCACCTGGAATATCATGGACATTTACAAAACTGGGACCGATCTGATGGCCAAGAATCTGTATTGGAGGTAAAAATGCAAATCTCGTTTGTTCTAGCAGAAGGCAACAAAAACACACACAGAGGGGGGCTCATCCCCTCCAGCATGGGGGGGGGGCAAAGAACCCCCCCCCCTCGGTGCAGGTTTGGGATGGGGGGTCTGTCTGAGCCCATGCTCTCATTCAGCCCTGTCCCATTTCCCCCACCCCATCCCAGGCTCACTTTCTCCCGGGCTGAGACCCGACTCCTCAGGGACATTGACCTCGATGGTGCTGGGTGGAGGCGGGAGGCCCTGCAGCTGCTGAAGCAAATCAACATGGAGAAGTGGGGGCCGCGGTACGGCAAAGACCTGACCTCCTGCCACCTGAAGGTAACTCTGACAGAGAGGGCAGAGTGGGAGGGGGTAGGGAATGGGTGATAGGAGCATCCACGGGTATAGGGGAGAAAGATCTAGTCGGTTAGAGTAACGGGAGGGAGAGCAGAGAGGGCTGGGTTCTCTCCCGGCTCTGGGGGGGGAGTAGGGTCTAGTGGTTAGAGCAGGGGCGGGGCTGGGAGCCAGGACTCCTGGGTTCTCTCCCCAGCTCTGGGAGGGGAGGGGAGTCTAGTGGTTAGAGCTGTGTGTTTCTTCTTCCAACTGTTTCACTCTGGGTTCTCCATCTCAGGTGCCCATGCGCCCCAGATGCCTTTGTTGGGAGAATTTGGGTAGCAGTGCCCATTCTGCCAAGCGCGCACTCCAGACATCCTCGTGCCCCATACCGAGGATATATAGAGGTGCCCGGATGAACCACCCTCAATTCCTTCTCCACCCCCTGATGGCCTAAGATGGAGCGTCCAGCGTGTCCGCTTCACCTTGGCTTAGCTTAGCCAAACCTCCAGTTTTAGTTACAATTAGAGTGCGGTGCTGGTTAGCTCACCTCATTTATTTCTTTATACTTGGGGGGGGGATTCCATTTAATGTTCCCCTTGCCCCCTCCCTCCTCTGCCTGCCCATTCCCCTCCAGTCTGAGAGGTTTTTGCTCTGGGGGTTGTCACTGACTTGGTATGCCGGGATCCCCAGGATTCCAGCTTCCCCGGTCGGTGACGGACATTCCCGGTGTAGCCGCTGCCTGAGATACCCCCAAATCCCAGCAAAGTGCAAAATCCGCTCAGCGGTTAAAAGGAGATCTTGTAAAAGCTGAAGATTAAATTTAGGCTCTTCACGATGGAGCTCTCCCTCTGAGCAGCCTTGGGTCCGGGCCCAGGTACCCCTTGGACATTGGCCTCTGAGTGAAAACAGTGCCCTGTTGACCTCAGTCCCCTCAAATCCCAACCAGATTTTCCTGACCTGAGGGTTTCCAGAAGTTGACCTCTCTCCGACCACCGCCAACAGAAAGTGCACGAAATTCTGTTCGAGAGGAGGTCTGGGTTATCAATCCTTGGGAGACGCCTTCCTCATTCCTTGGACAAGAGCTCTTCTTCGTGCATATCCTCTGACACGATCGATTCTGAACGAGATCAAACGAGACAGAGTCACTCTAGCTGCACCAACTCACTCGAGCCAGGTCTGGTTCTCTGACCTGATTCATCTCACTTCCGGTCCAGCTGCAGCGTCTGGTCGTTTCCTGTCTGCTGCCCCAGGACTCCAGTTGGTCTCTCCGCCCCAGAGTGGCCATTCTCTGGTTCAGAGCCTGGCTTCTCAGTGGTTCTCAGGGACAGAGGTTTCCTGCTCAGCAGAGATAAAACAGATACAAAGATCTCTACTAGCAGCACTTACCTTCAGAAATGGAAGAGATTTTACCCTTGGTGTCCCCAGTGACAGTTTTCACCTGTTCATTCTTCCCTCTCCGATGTTCTTGATTATGTGATGAATTTAGAGAAATCAGGTCTTTCTGTGAGTCCCGTCGGAGTTCGTTTGGTGGCTATTAGAGCCTCTCATTGCCCTGTGCAAGGATTTTCAGTCTTTGGTCCAAGAGGTGAATCTAGTTGAACCGCTCAGTAATAGTGACCATAATGCAATTACATTTAGGGGGATCATTAAAAACAAGACCCCACCACTGCAACATTTAACTCTAATGGGGGGAACGACACAAAAATGAGGCAATTCGTTAGATGGAAATTCAAAGGAGCTGTACAAGGGTGAAATTCCTGCAAGCAACATGGGGACTGTTTAAAAACACCATAACAGAGGTGCAGACTAACCGTATACCCCAAATCCAAAAAGACAGTAAGAGGACCAGAAGAATAGCACCCTGGCTCACGAGCAGAGGTGGAGCAATGGAGAGAGGGAAACAACAGGGTACCCCAAGGATCTGTACTGGGACCTGTGCTGCTCACCATATTCATTAATGATCTGGAAAAGGGGGTAAACAGTAAAGTGGCAAAATTATTCAGGATAATTAAGCCCAAAGCCGGCTGCAAAGAGTTACAGGGGATGTCACAAAACTGGGTGACTTATCAACATTGATAAACGCAAAGTAACGCACGTTGGAAAACATAATCCCAACTATAAATACATATCAATGGGTTCTCAATTCGCTATTACCACTCGAGAAAGAGATGTTGGTCACTGTGGATGGTCCCCTGAAAACTTCCCCTCATTGCGCAGCAGCCGTCAAAAAGGCTACCTGTGTGTTAGAGACTATTAGGAAAGGGATAGAAAACAAGACAGAAAATGTTTCATCTTGTGCAGGGATTCTCAAACTTTTGTCCTGGTGACCCCTTTCACACAGCAAGCCTCTGAGTGTGACCCCCCTTATACATTAAAAACACTTTTTAATGTATTTAACACCATTGTAAATGCTGGCGGCAAAGCGGGGTTTGGGGTGGAGGCTGACAGCTCGCAACCCCCCATGTAATAACCTCACGACCCCCTGAGGGGTCCTGACCCCCAGTTTGAGAACCTCTGGGCTTGTGGGACGTCACGGTAGAGAAGGAACTGAGGGCGGTTTGTCCGCACATCTCTAGGTATCTCGGTATGGGGCACAAGGATGTGTGGAGCTCACGCACGGGCAGAACAGGCGCTGCTACCAAAAAATCTCTGCTCGAAGGCGCGGGGGGCGCGGGGGGGGGGGGGGCGCACCTGAAGTGCAGCACCATCGGGGCCCGGTTCTGGGAGAACTCCAGTTGCTGCACATGGTGAGTAACTTCTCCTTCTCTTGCAGATGGTCCTGTTTTGGGCTTCTGACCTCAACCCAGAGACAGAGCACTGGGCCACGTTGCCGGCTGCTGTGGGGACCCTGCTGAAGGTGCTGGAGTTCTGCCTGGAGAAGAGACACCTGCCCAGTTACTTCCTGCCGTCCATTAATTTCTTCGACTGGCACCGGACTGAGGAGGAGAATTCCCTGAGGAACCTGGGGCTGGAGGCGCTCAGACTGGAGGTGAGGCTGATGAGATGCAGCCCAGAACGGTACCTGCAGCTGTGCTACGACCTGGCCAAGCCCCCAGGCCCGGGACCCTTCGTCCAACGGGCGCGGGAGCTCGACGCCTTTAGAAGGGAGCATCGGAACGACTTGGAAGAGTTCAAACACCTGAAGGAAGGAAAACAGCCGGGACAGGGAGCTGCGAGTGTCTTCTTTGCCCAACACAGACACCTGGGCTCGTGTCTGCAGTTAAATATGCTACGCCAGGATTTCTTAAACTGGGGGTCGGGACCCCTCCAGGGGCCGTGAGGTTATTACATGGGGGGTCGCGAGCTGTCAGCCTCCACCCCAAACCCCGCTTTGCCTCCGGCATTTCTAATGGTGTGAATGTGTTTTTAATGTATAAGGGGGGGTCACACTCAGAGGCTTGCTGTGTGATAGGGGTCACCAGGACAAAAGTCTGAGAGCCCCTGGTCTACGCTAACTTCACTTGGCTTTGGATTTATCCCGGGGGAACAGAGTCTGCTTAAAAACCATGAGCCTTGATTTAAAACACAATGTTTTTAAACAATAATAAAGGCTGGGTTCTGTTCATTGGCCTTCAGAGTTTTGCAGTGGGTGTCACGTGGCGTCGCTCTGGGTTGACCCAAGGGGAGCTGGGATCAGAATCCGGCCCTGACCCCACTGCAGTCGGGGTGACTCCGGTTTGACCCTGGGGCGGCTGGGATCAGAATCCAGCCCTTTGGGAGTAGAAACCGACCCTCGGTTCTCCTTTCGCCCTCGAACGCCGTTCGTCCGTGGCTCTTTACAGCACGTCCGTTTCCTTTCCGAAGGCCCAGCCCGCCCCCTCACGCCGCACGCCGGGCTCCAGTTACACTGGTCGCAGAAGTGTTGTTACAGTTCAGTCTGCGTTGTCTCGGCAGTGTTGTTGGCTCTGGCTTGCGTGTGTGCCCGCTCCACACCTTCAGTGTGTGGTGGAACGTGGGCTCGTTCGCCACGGGCCTAGAACGTGCTAGAAAACCCCTGCCGACAGCGCTCCTTTGAAAAGCCGGTTGTTCTTGCCAGGCTGTCGTACCAGATTCATTTACACCGATGTCGACAGGCTGCAAACGGGATGGGGCGAGTCCGCCGCGCTCTGCATGCACCAGGTTTGTGTGTGGTGAGGAATGGGGGGAGGGAGGGGTGTGTGGGGGAGGGATGGATGGAGGGTGGGTGGGTGGGCGAGGGATGGACAATTCAGCCCACACTGAAATCACACCCAACAGCTGGCACATCTGTGCTATTTGCCCCCTTCTGGCTCCCACCCCACCCACCCCCCATCTGTTCCCCCTCCCCTGCCTGGCAGTGCTGACACCTGCATTTCCACTGGCTTTTATTATACAATTCTGGGTGATTTCACTCCATGCTTCTCCCTCCCCAGCATGCTCTCCTACCTGTGTCATCACCCACCGACTCCCCCCTCCCTGTTAATCCCCAGCCACACACACACACCCCGGCAAAGTGTCACTTAGCAAATGGGGAAACGCGGGGACACTGACACCCCTACACACTATCCCCACCCTGCTCCCCAGGGCATGTGGCACACTTTGGTGGCAGTAGTGGGATAGTGCCAAGGGTGCCCAGACACACAGATGTCCCCTGGTGACAGAAGTGAGATATGGTGCAGACACACATCCCTGTGCACCCAGGTGCTCCCTGGTGTTAGTAGTGGGATACTGCACAGAGAGAGACTTTCCACCACATGTGCACACACAAGGGCCCTTGTGAGCGAGGTGGGATAATTATTCCTACAAAGTCACCACTGGAGAACCAAACTTGTGATATGCCCCACTCTAGGTGTATTCAGATAACTGTGATATGACATTATTCCACTCTTCCTGTTCTCTTCCCATATACGATGGGCTCACTCGGGATATGTCATAAAGTTATCACCTGATTTTCATTACAAGAATTGCAAGTTTTCGTCTACAGGTCGTTAAAGCCCCTTGTGTGGTTTCTACAGTACTGATGTCTTCATGCTGTAAATACATTTCTGCAACCAATAACACTTCTGATTAGACCACACATCACAATTACACATCATTAACAAAGGCACTGAATACCTTGAGGACAGCAGCCCCCAGTTGTGCCTATCCATTTGTCTCTTGTGTTCCACAATTGTTGTTTTCCACAGTCCCATGGGGGATTTTCCAGTTTCTTGGTATCTGAAATATGTAGGGAGTACAGTAGCCAATTGTGTAAGTGGGTTTCACTTTTAGACGTTTAGTAATCCTTTCTTTTTCTAGTTAATGAACGGTTGCAAAGACTTCATGCTCCTATATATACATGTGGGTTTGTATGATCATAACAGAGTCTTTACGCTTTATATCACTTGATTTGCTCTGCCCGTCTTGCTAACGTCTCGCTCATGCTCAATGCTCGTGTTTTGGGCCCACGTTCAATGAAGTAGTTAACCATGCTCAAATCGCACAGCTTCACTCAGTGTCCAGTATTTTGCACCATGAGTACACGTAGGGGCTGTTTCCATTTTTCTTTGTAGCTATCAGGAAGATATTCTCCTCGCTGTTCTATTTATTGAAAATAGTGTGACACGAACACTGCCTGTAAGCTATGCAAATAAGTGTCGAAAAAATCACCTCCAAATTCCTGAGGTTCTTTCATATCTCGTCTCATCACACACGGCGTCGATTAGTAACAATCCTTTTGTTTCCATTAATGTTACCTGGAAGTGTAAAAACTACAGCTGTCAAGCAATTAAAAAAAAATCACAATTAATAATGCGATTAAAAAAGTTAATCATAATTAATTGTGCTGTTAAACAATAATAAATACCATCTATTTACATATTTTGGATGTTTTCTACATCTTCAAATATATTGATTTCAGTTACAACACAGAATACAAAGTGGAGAGTGCTCACTTTATTTTTGATTCTAAGTATTTGCACTGTAAAGAACAAAAGAACTGAGTTTTTCAATTCCCCTAATACAAGTACTGTGGTGCAATCTCTTGATCGTGAAAATTGAACTTGCAAATGTAGAATTATGTACACACACACACAAAAAAATGTAAAACTTTAGAGCCTACAAGTCCACTCAGTCCTACTTCTTGTTCAGCCAATCGCTCAGACAAACAAGTTTGTTTACATTTGCAGGAGATAATGCTGCCTGCTTCTTGTTTACAATGTCACCTGAAAGTGAGAACAGGCATTCGCATGGCACGGTTGTAGCCAACATCGCAAGATATTTACGTGCCAGATGCGCTAAAGATTCATAGGTCCCTTCATGCTTCAACCAGCCTTCCCGAGGACACGCGTCCATGCTGATGACGGGCTCTGCTCGATAACAATCCAAAGCAGTGAAGACCGACGCATGTTCATTTCCATCATCTGAGTCAAATGTCACCAGCAGAAGGTTGATTTTCTGTTTTGGTGGTTCGGAAATTTTAAATGACACAGGTCAGGGTGTGGTTTAATTACATTACAGACCCATTCAACGATGTCTTTTGTCATCCCAGGCCAATAGTACCTTGAGGTAAGCACCGTTCTCATGTTGACAACTCCTTGATGTCCACCGCGGGGACTGTCATGGTACATTTCCAAGAGTTGTGGGGCTTGTTCCTTGGTGTGCACGATGACCACCTTTCTTCCTTTGGCGGCATGGAACAGTGTCCCTTCTGCTGATCAGAGAAGAGAGAGACATTGATGATCACAGAATAATAGGACTGGAAGGGACCTCGAGAGGTCATCTAGTCCAGTCCCCTGCACTCATGACAGGACCAAGCACCATCTAGACCAGGGGTGTCAAACTCAATTGCACAGGGGGCCAAAACTCAAAACTCGCGGGCCGAACAGTATAACCATTTATTTAACAGACTAAATATTTATGTTTTTTAACCATTAATATGAACCAAAATACAGGATATCATTCCAAAATAAATACATTTCAACTTAAAATATTTTGCTCTTCATAAAAAAATATCCTGTCAATACAATACATTCAAAATCTGTACATCCTGAAAAATAAAAAAATCTAAAAATAAAATAAAAAATTGAATTTAAAGCAAAAGTATAATCATAACAAATCATAACATTC